TTCCAAATTTTTAAATTTGATTTTGTTGGTTGCGATTTCATCTCCATTAATAAAATATATCAGAAACATCACTTAACTACAATCTTTGTTTTAAGCGGAGCAATTGTCTCACTAAATAGTGATTTCAGATTTGTCCCGATATTCTTGCAAAAACAAATAATATGTAAAAATTAGCTCTTCTTTGCACCACCCAGCTATTTCTTCATGCCAAACAATTGAAACTACACTTTCCTTCGTTTTTCCAATAGCCACAAATGTTCTTAATCGCTGACAAAACATTGCTTCTTTAAGATTTTCCATTCTTAATAGCATGATTACCTTTTCCAAGTCTGCCGCTACTATTATTTTTAAAGTAAAAAACTATTTCACGGGATCCAAGGACTTTGAGTACGTACACAACCTGAAATATCTATTAAAGTCAATGACTGAAATTGTTGGGCAACTAAGTACAACACGTACCTATTGGAGCCCAACATTTTCAGTTATTAACTTTAATGGATATTTTAGGTTGCGTACGTACACAAAGTCCTTGGGTACCATGAAACAGTTTGTTTTTTAACTTTTTATTCCATTTTTAAAACGTTGTTCAAAAAAATTTTTTTTAATATAATTTTTTTTTTTTTTTTGCTTGCTTTTATGTTTTGCTTTTTTTTATTTTTAATTTTAATATTTTTGTAAACATTTATCTGATTTCTTAGTTTATACTTAATGCTTTTGGAAATTTTAAAAAAATAAATATTGTAACACGGTACTCGGCGAAACGATAAAAATAATTTCTTCTTCTTGCTCCGGCCATTAATTTTATTTTTTTAATTTAAAAAAACTTTATTTAAAGTTGATTTTTACACCACAGTTTTAACATTAGGACTAATTTAAATGAATATATTAAATTTTATTGACAGTACACACACACATACAAGTTTCATAAAAAATTACAATTAATTCAATAAAAAAAATGTCATGAAAATTTGTAATTGCTTCAATAAAATAAAATAAAAATATTTATGATAATGTACTCCTTGTTACATATAAAATAAAATAAAATTTCAGTATAAAATGAATTTTTTTTTTAAAGCAACTATTTTTGCAAACGCAATTATTACCATACCAATTCTTGATATGTTTTTTGAACACCTCAAGACTTTTGAACATGGTCTCGTTATTTAGAGTGTTCCAGAATGAGGTGGCTTAATATAACTTTTAGCATGTATCATTATATAAGGAGCCTTTAGGAGGTAGAATCAGTTTTTTCTACAACAAAGTTTACACATAAGATTTTTTTATAATGAAAAGATTCTTCATAAATTCTGGATTTAGACAATTAATGGATTTAAAAGTTTATGTATCATTAGAAATATCAAGTTTCTTAAATGGATCCTTAAACTATTATTAAAATTTAATAATTCATCCGGAGACAAATAAACTCTTTTATAGACTATACTTAGAGCTTTTTGATGAATTCTATTTATTAGTTTGTCATCTTTTTTGAACAAAACATTCAAATTAGAGGACTATAAGAAAAGTTAAACAAAGTAAAAGCATTAAACAGCAAAATAGATTTTTCACGGTATAAATATTTGCCTGAAATCATGGGATAAAAAAATGCCTGAAAAATCAAAACATTTGCCAATAGCTTAATTGCATAACTGTTTAATGTGTTGCCAAACTTTATATTTCTATCAATTATTGTGCGGCCATGGTGCAGTGGTTAAAGCGCTTGCTTTATAAGCAGGAGATCCAGTTTCAAGCTCAAGACATTTTTTGCGCCACGGTAAGGAAAGAGGCGTGAATTTCTTGGTTAAAAGGACTTCCGCGGTGCTCTGTGACAAGACTGTTAGGTCTTTTTAGGGCACCTAAATAACAAACAAAAAAAAAAAAAAAAAAAAAAATTATTATACCGAGTGGTTTTGCCTTATCGGAGGCAAATTCCCTTATATTACCTATTTGTTAGCGATTGTTTTTTTTTTTAAGCCAACTAAAAAAAATTAAAAATTTCTGGATAAGCAACCGTATAGTTTAACTAAAACCAATTGATGGCATTGGTTGCTTCTTTTTGCAAACGAAAAAAAACTATCTCATAGCCATAATCACGAGCACAAATAGTATTATCATCCACAAAATTATAAAGTTCGTAGCTTTAATGAATAAAAATAAATCATTTACAAAGATATTTAACAAATTAGGTACAAGGATCTACCCTTGAGGCACTCCAGATAATATATCCACCCAGTTTGACGCAGAAGACCCTATTTTTGCCCTTTTATTACAACCAAAAATATAAGATAACAAGAGATTAAGACTTTTTTTAGAAAAACCATAGGTGTCTTTATACGTCTAATTTAGCAATTAGTAAGTCATGCGGTATAAATTTGTACGCTTTTGAGAGGTTAATTAGTATTGGTCCGACAACATCTTTATTATTAAAACAACCATGCCACTTATTAAGTAACAAAAAAGGTGCATGCTAAGTACTTTAACCTCTTTGGAAACCGCATAAAAGTTTATCAAATCTAGGCTCAATAAGTATACATATCTATTCATATATAATGGTTTCAAAAACTTAATGGAGGTCTGGTAGAATACTAATTGGACGGTAGTTCAACTTATTTGTTGAGTCTTTATTCTCAAAACTCGGTATAGCATCAGCTATTTTTAGAAATAACTGGAATTTACTATCATGAATGCTATAATTTATGCAATCTATAAAACTGTCCATAAAGTGAGAAATAAAAGGTTTTAACTTAAAAATTGGTATATCACCACTAGTCTTTTCCTTATCGCTCATAGACTCTATAATTTTTGTAATATCATCAGGTGTGATTTGACGGAACTGGAAACTATGTTTTAACATTCTAAATTTTTGCTTTATGTTTATATACTGGGATTCCTTTATGTAAATATACTGTTTATATACAGAGATAATCCTTTTGATAGCTGCATTAACTGGGTCTATAAAGCAAAATATTAAAGACGGATGTAAGAGGTCTGTACTACCAGATGGCACTTTAACGTTTATGAAATACTTATTAAAAGTATTAGTCAATAAAGAGTTGACAGAGATGATGTTATCGTTTTCAACTAAAGTGATACGTTTGTTAGAATTACCCGATTTACAATCTACATTTATCACCCAATTTCTTTGTTTTTTGTACATTAGCGCGTTCATTAGAAATATTAGATTTATCATTAAGGCATTTTTACATAATATAAAGAGAAACATAATTGCTTTTCGTAAGTTTTTAGTTATAAAAGATTTGTTATTACCTCTGAGTATTTTAGAATTAAGAGACCATACAAATCTAGAACTTTGCTGAATATCTCACAAGTATCAATATCATAACAAGAATTTAATTTTTTATGGAGTGCTGTTGCAAATTTTCCGCTTGAAAGTTTTCAAACTATCTTTATATCATTTTTTTAGGTGGTAAGTTAAAAAACTTATATCTGAGAATTGTATGTGATCATCAGTGTGAGTCATCAATGTATGTTGATGGTTACCACTCACACTGATTATAGTCACTTACACCCGTACAAAAGATATTCGAATGTTGAAAGCGCAACTTTCTGAATTTGAAAGAATTCCCTCATTATTTTATAGGAAGGTCGTATATTAAAATCTCCTATTAAAATATAATCTATATTTGAGTGTTAATAAAAGTCAAGCTCTTATTTGATTAAAGAAATATTCACAATTCTGATTTGGGAGTTTATAAACAGCTATCACTAGCCATTTCCGCATTCTTAGTTTAATTTCAAAAGTGATAAAATGAATGTCATTAGGAAAATCGTTTTTTGTTAAATTTTTAGAAGGAAATATCACCATTGATGGACACAAGAATGTCTCGGATATATTAAGAAATATCCAAGCGATAGGGGATTTTTTATAAAAATGTAGAAAAGTGATCAATTGGAAATGAGTCATTTAGTATAGTTTCACCAAATATTTGTAAATTTACGTAGGTTGTAACATTTCTTCAACGGCAAAGTATAATGTTCAACATATATATCTATATATCTATATCTATATCAATATCAATATATCTATATCTATCTATCTATCTATATATATTTCTATATCTATATCAATATCTACATCTATCTATCTATCTATCTATCTATCTATCTATATATATATATATATATATATATATATATATATATATATATATATATATATATATATATATATATATATATATATATATATATATATATATATATATATATATATATACATATATATATATATATATATATATGTATATATATATATATATATATATATATATATATATATATATATATATATATATATATATATATATATATATATATATATATATATATATATATATATATATATATATATATATATATATATATATATATATATAGCATAGAAGTCAAATTATTAATTTTTAAATTTTGTTTTGAATGTTAAACTACTAATTTATTCGATAGTTTAAAAAAAGTTTTTTTTGGATAGTAAAATCTTTTTCAATAAATAATAAAAAACGATGTCAAATATTTATTATATGTTTCTGGTTAATAATTTATTGTTCGTTGACTTAAAAACAAACGTGAAGTTTTTCATTAAATCCGCCGGCAGGAAGCATATATTTTCGTCTCCAATTTGGCAGTCGCTACTAGCTGGGAGGCAGAAGCTATTGGAGACGGCCTCTAAATGATTTTCGCTTTGAAATTTCTTCTGGAAGCTGATATTAATGGCTTTCGTTTCCCAATAGGCATCGGGCTACAAAACATTTTGCTTTCAAAAAATCTCTGGCTGCGGCTGCCAATAGAAAATTAGAAGCCACTAGAAGCGGAAAGAAAAAAAATATTTTTTCGCTAAAAATTTATCGGGCAGTCTACGCCAACGGTTTCTACCTGCTTAAAAAATCGGCCTTTCGACAAAAGGTTTTTTTGTCTATCAACTAATATCAACTCTCTCTAAAAGTAAATAATAAAATAGAAAAACAAAATAATAAATTTTTGTTTACCTCTCAAAAATAAAAGTTTGACGTTTTGTATTTCCAAGCACAAGCACTTACGTTTAAAACTTCCTGGTCACAAAACGATTTGTAAAAGATTTGAAAAAAAATTGAATATTTTTCTATTTAAAATGATTATGACGCAAATTGAATGCTATTGGTTAATGGACAGAAATAAGATTTATCAATCTAATAAGTCCATTATTGTCTACATTTGTAAGTCTTATATTATTGCTTTAAGTAATAAGTAATCTCTTATCAAATAGTACTAATACCATAATATATTATTGCATTCACCTGGAAACGCCGGTTTAAAAATGTATCCGAGTACGAAAAAATAGGCACAATCTTATGTACGAAAAAGTAGGCATAATCTTATGGGTGTATAAAGTTCTATAGGTATTGTAGTATTTTTATTGTGACAAAACTTACTTTTAAACCTCATAATAATGCTTTTTTCTTGTTTATTGATTTAATTTCATTTTTTATAAAACGCATGTATTTTTTATATGTAATCACCCCTATTAGAATCGCATTATTACTTTTTTTTTTGTTATTGAGTTGTTAAAACTTTTAATAACGTTAGAATGGCATTACTTTTATTTTTATTATTTATTTTTTTTTGTTATTGAGTTGTTTAAACTTTTAATAACGTTTGTAGTTTTTACATATCGTGACGTCAGAGTAATAGGGTTCTATTCACCTTTTAAACTGTTAAGAGAATTTGAAAAAATCTTTATACTCTCCTAAAGTTTTAAAATAATAAGTAAAAATTTGCTAAATTCTTAAAATTAAAAGATCAAAATATCAAAATTGTTCAATTTATTGCTTAGAACATTATTTTTTATTTATCAAGTAATATAAATTGGTGTAAAACAAAATAGCGTATCGGCAGATGAGAATAATGAGGTTCTATCTTAAAATTTTCATTGTAAAAAAAAATTTTTTTTTTTTTTTTAATTATAATATTATTTTTGTGTTCAAAATTATATAATTTCAATATATTAATTTTTTTATTATTTTTTATATAACTTTTTAAAATTGTTAGTTTTTGTTTTTTCATTGTCAGTTTCAACTTTACTTAGTAAAGTTGGAATTAACAACTAATTTGTAATCAAGCAATTTTAAAAATTATGCAAGTAGTAATGCAAGATTAATTATAGAGTATAAATAATATAAAAAACATATATTTTATCAACATAAACAACAACAACTGTAAAACATTTATATAACTAAAAATCGAAAGTTAAATTCTCACAACGTTAGAAAATAGAGATAAAACTCTATTGTTCTTACGTCATGATATGTATGTCGCAACTTATTAGATTAGTTTTTTTATAAATCCATTATTTGTTTCCTTTTGATTAATTTCTGGGTATTACTAAAACTTTTCAAATATAACCCTAAAATCGTATGCTTTAAACAACAATAATTTTAAAAAATTGGGTTTTGCTATAATCAAGTTTTTAGTTCGAACACGGTTTAGTGTACAGAGTAAACTATAGAACCATAGATTATGCAGCAGAGTTATAGCTTTTGGTGTCGCCAGTATCATGTATGAAATTTAATAGTGAGCCTTAATTTATAAATAACTAAAAAATTAAAAGTTTTATTTTTACTTTGAGGTTACTCTGCATCACATCACATAATTACACGCTCGGTCTCACATCACATAATTACACGCTCGGTCTCATATAACCGTGATAAACAAAATCAATCATTTTTAAGTTAATTTCAAATCAAAGTTCATCTACTTTTCAATTAAAAAACTGGGAATTATATAAAATTCTTTTATGCGTTATATGCAAATTCATTAACAACACAATTCATTAAAATGTTTCAATTTTAACTTTGTAATGTTATTATTTTCATTTACTTAGATTACTTACAAAGCTACCCAGAAAAGATTTCTGTGCATTTACATTAGATCCTATATAGGTATTATGAGTTACTTAGTGGACCATTAGTTGTATCGTTATAAGTGGCCAAATGAATGCTTTCCATAATGTGATCAGCTTGCCACTTTTGGTGGCTGCCACTAATGTTATTCAGTGGATTAAGTAACTGAAAAAAACTACAAGAGACCACTCAAAATGTCTATATAGGTCCACTGAAATTCCGCAATAGAATGTTAACTGGATAGTTAATGAGATTGCTAAAAGCAGTTTAAAATATTTTGCAAAATTAAGAATTATTATTTGCCAAAATTAAAATAGTTTATAGATTTAAAGATTTGAAATAAATTTAATCAGAAAACTATAATTTATGGAAATAAATATTACTAAATTCAAATGGGATTGATATGTAATGAAGAAATATTTTGAGTATGTCGTTATTTTTGTAAGAATTGTTATATGCATGCATAAAGTATAATTTAATGATTATGAAATTCATAAAAACAATACATAAATTATTGTTTAAACAATCTCTCTACCAATATAGTCTATTTTCATTAACTCTATCGCATAATACAATTCTAATTACAAATCAAAATAGTTTTTCACTTTCATTTGAAACAAGAAAATAAAGTCTTTTTATATAGCAAACAGAAACTTTTTTAAAAAAATGGGTAAATGCACAACTTATTTGAAGGATTACTATATAAGCATATCTTTAAAATAACTATAGCAATCTATACTTCAAAAGTGATACAAACCTTTTTGAAATTCACATAGTAATTTACGTATTAATGTTTTAATCAATAGAAAATATAGTTTTTTAAAAAATCAGATAAATAAAATAACTCGAAACAGCTTAAGGATTTAAAAATAATTAAGACAAAAAAAACTTCCACTCTTGAGGCAACAAGTTTTATTTGGTTGTTTTTGTTTTTTTTGTTGTTTTTTTTTAAATCATTTCTATAAGGTAATATCTTGTTTTAATACCTTAAAATCTACTATTTTGTAGTTTTAGTTTCAAAAAAAAGTTTGAAAAGTTCATAATGAAGACAAAATTAAACATTTTTTCATACTAATTAAACCTATTTTAAAAGTTTTTAAAAACCATAAGACATTTAAGAAATAGCATTTGATAAAAGATTTAACAAAGTGTTGATAAAGTAGAAACGAAGGCCGATGATTAGTTAAAAATCAAAAAGCTTATTAAATTATTGTTATTTATTTTTCTTTTATATTAACACAGTATAAATATCATTTCTACAATGCACATATACATATAGATAGAAATAAAAGAAAGTACAAAATTATATACTGGATTTACAATCCAAAGTTAAAGCAGAAAGGGGCTCAAAGAAGATAAGGATAGTATTACGTAATCACAATCTTTCATATAGCTTTAGTGCAAGTTTAATTTTTTACCGTAAAAAAAATTCGTAAAAAAAAATAAATAATGATAACAAAGTTACCATTAAAAAAGTTAAAAAAAAAAATAAGTCAATTAAAAAAAAAAAAAAAAAACTTTACTTATGATCAAATTTTAAAACTTCTTTTTTGGTTTGAAACTTAAATGAATTTAAGGACTTTACCATAATTGATACGTTACGTCAATAGTTTTGGTAATTTTGAATGCATATATATTATGTAGGGAAGCCAAGATAAATCTTCATCAACAAGAAATCCTTAAAACTTTTGACTTGCTTGTTCTTGGTTTTTAATTGCTGTATTATAAATAAAGTTCGCGCAACTTTAGGAGTTTTGATGATGTATTACAAAAATTGTTAATATAAATTAGGAATAGGAGCGAATCAAGGATTGATCACTGTGGATTCTCATACAACATATAATACTCCAATTGTACATTACGAACATATTGCTTTCTATTAATGAGATAAATTTTAATCCACTCTCTAAAAAAAAAAGGAGAAATTTCTACCTTAGGGTAGGATATGTGATATGCCCTTAGTAAGGGATAGTTTTCTATCCCTTACTAAGAAAAATATACTTTTAAGGTAGAAAATTGTATGACAAATCATTGTTTTAAATATAACTTTTTTCCTTAAAAAATAGAAAATTATATCTTACTAAGGGTATATCACAAAATCTACTCTAAGGAAGAAAATTTGTACCTGAATTTTTTTATTTATTTATTGTGCAGGAAAATGTTGTATTATTTATAACATAATGTTTAATTTTTTCAAAAAGAATGCAATAGTTAACTGTGTCGAATGCTCTATAAATATACCGATAGTAAATTTGCTATTGACAAAACCATTATTTGGTTGAGTATTTGAATAATTGCGTAATGAGCTGAGTGATTTTTCTGAGAAATTGTTTTAAGTAGAGCAATATTTTTTTAGTGAAATATTCGAATATTCATTTATAAATTACGCGTTCAAACAAAAGAGTGCAGAAAGTAATGATATAGGTCTATAGTTTGTCATGTCCGAATGATTGTTACATTTGTAAATTATTATAGTTTTAACTATTTTAAGAGCATTAAGGAAAATACTAAATTTTAAATGAGAGTTTTAGTATATAAAATAGAGGTTTGCTTAAGTTAAAAATACTAGAGATTGCATTATATCCTGGAGATTTAAAAAAAAAAGAATATACTGTTTCGTATTCTTATATCTTATGTATTTGTCATACAGTATTTTGTCATTTATGGTTTTTAAGTAGATTTTAAATGATTCAAATGTTAGTGTTATTTTATTGCCAACATTTGGACAAACATTTGTAAAATACTTGTTGAACTCTTTGCGATTAAGGTTTGACAGGATTTATCAGTGTTACCGATACTTACATGTTTGTTCATTCGTAATACTAAATTTTTGTTCACAATTTTTTTTAAATTAACAACATTTGGTTGCTAATTATACCCGTATCGTGGGGTAATGAGGGGGTGTTGTTAGGTACAATCGACCCTTCTTTTTTAAAAATTCTCTTTTTTTCATTCAAGTTTTATTATAAAAATCAAGCAAGATTTTTGTTTGCTATTCCAAACTGCCTTTTTTTCAAAAACAAACCCTGCTCTTCCAAAAATCATCACAGTACTGTACGGCCTGCTATCAAACGCAGTTTTTAAATAACTTACTTTTAAGAAGTTAGGAAACTGATCACTAATATCTGTATGAAATATTCCGGCTTTAAAAGTTAATAATGACATTATTGTCTCATCCAGTTACTGAATTTTTTATAACAGGTGTAGGTAATGTTTAATAAAAC